TAATAATTGTTAAATATCAATTATCTAATAAAAACATTTATTTATTCTAAAGATGAAGATGGTGTACTAGGATTTTCTACAAAAAATAAAGAACTTGAACAAAAATATTTATAAAATGTGACTCTGCTAGATTCACAATTGCAGATATAGCTGCGGGTGAAAATCACGCATTGTTATTAACTACTGAAGGCTTTATATACACATTTGGAAGTGGAGATGCTTGTCAACTAGGGAGGAGGATTTTGAAGTATTATAAGAGAAATGGATTGAATTTTGAGAAAATGTCTATCAGGAGAATTAAAAAGATTTTTGCTAGAGCATATCATAATTTTGAAGTTGATGATGATGATATTATTTACACGTGGGGACTAAATAATTATGGTCAGTGTGGTATGACTCATCAGATTCTTTTGTTTCGCACCCTACAAAAGTAGAATTCTTCGAGAATTTTCTCAAAGTAAAACAAATCGCTGCAGAAATGCACCACTCATTAGCATTGCTAGAAGATGGCAATATATATAGTTTTGGCCGTGCTGATTATGGGCAACTAGATATCGGAAACTTATCAACTAATAGAGTATCTACGCCTACTCATATTTCAAAGCTTGTTAATTGTCAGCATGTCGCAGTTGGTGATCATCATTCTTTGGCAGTCGACGAAGAAAATAAAGTTCATATATAGAGCTTTGGCAAAACCTATGCCTTAGGAGACAGGAGTGGAAAGGATAAAAATTCACCATTTGAAATTAATTGCACAGGGATTGAAGATAAAATTTTATTAATTGGTGGTAGTTCTCAATACTCCGTTATATTGTCTCAATTCACAAATTGATTTGTTCTATTTAAAAAATATTACGATTAATGTGTTCATTGAAATAACTTGTTTATTCAATTCAAAAATTATATTTCTTTATAGTTCAGTAAAAAAAATTATATTTATTTTTTCGAAATAAAAACTTTTCAAAATTTTGATTGGTGTAATTTATTTGTTTGAAAATAAATTCTTATTCTGTGAATTCTCTTAAATCTAATTAAGACCTTCATGATAATAAACAGTATTTTTTGGGATATGTGGATATACATCAAAAGCGCGCATGTTGGTTTACGTTTCAAGAACAAATAATCTAATGATATCTACGTGATCATTAAAAACAGCACTCAGACATGTTTGTGGCGCAGACAAAATTCTTAAAATTTGTTAAGGTTAACGTTAGATTAGCTTTGAAACTTATTAACAAGCGATCGGTAAGATGATTCGAGATGGTTTGAAAAATTTAAAATTATAAATTTGGATATTTTAATCATAGTAGGAATTAATGTTGTTAATGAGAGCTTTTATGTTTGAATAAATATACAGAACATGGCATGGATATTCGAAAACTGGTAGCAATCAACTACCACAATATGTCAAACAATGGGAAATATAAGTATTTTTATACAAATTAATCATTTATAACAGTATAAATAATTTTGAAATTCTGATTTAATTTAAAAGTTTAAATTAGTAGAATATAAATTTTTTTGACAAGATTTTCTCGTAAATATTGAAGGGTTAATTTTTTAATAAAGTAGAATAAATCTTGACTAAATAAATAGCCTAAACTAGTTATTATTGAAAGCTCGAGAGAAAATTGCTATGAAAATTTTTACTAGCAATCCTAACCAACAAAAAAATCACATAAATTTATCAAATACAATCAACCTGTCATGTTGAACAAAAAATTTTATCAATATACTGTAATGTTAATCGGAGCTTTGTCATCTAAATCAGTCTTGAATAGCAAATATTAGAATTATGCTTGCTATAATTGACTATTTAAAAAATCATTTATAGCAAAATTTGGACGAATGTCATTCCTAAAGAAAAGACTATTACTACTAGATCAAAGTATTATTAAATAAGTAAAGACTTTAAAAGATACTTATTGATTGTGTTTTTTTCATAAATTCCTAAACTAGAATAAACGATAGCTCCACTCTCTGCTAGATTATAAATATTCAGTTGTTCTTTGATGAGGGCAAATGGTATTTGATAAATTTATGTGACTTTTTCATTGGTTAGGACTGCTAGTAAAACTTTTTATAGTAATTCTTTTTTGAGCTGATTAATAATAAGAACTAGAATTAAGCATATTATTTAGTTAATTTGAAAAAGGTGGGTAATGTTTCAATAATGGGACTAAGCAAAAAGTAAGCAACATCTTATTAATGGTCTAATACAAAGCAATAGGCTTTAAGAATAGCGACAACAAACATCACCATGATTTATAAGCCTTCCAAAATCTATATACCAATAAAAATTTTCCAATTCTTCTATATCTTTTTGTAATTTTTGAACTATGTTTAACATATCTTTCACTTTTATTCTAAATCTGTTGTTTACTTCACGTGGATATTCGCAAAATTTCTTAATAGTATATTTTACTTCTTTAAAAATTATATAATTTTCTTCATCGTCTACATTTTTAACCATATAATTTTCAACTAATACTGATTGTTTAGAAAAGGTCGATGTTCTAGATTTTGTACTTGCTCTTTGGCCAATTCTATAATTTCTAAAGCCGATAAAGGGCTATCATGTCGCAAAAACATATGATTCTCAGTTCGAGTTGGCAAAATGTCCAATGGATCTCTTTTATATATATTACCAATTTTTCTGTCATTCTTCTTAACAACTAATTGTTCAGAAATAACAGTTTTGGAAACAGTTTGATGTTCTAGATTTTCTGCTTGGTCATTATCAGC